AGTAATCAGTAAAACAACTGACAATGGCTTAGTAGCAAAAGTATAAACTAACACAAAAAGTACTTCCTTGTGGTTATTACAAAATTTACATTAAGTTTTAAACCATAAAATAATAAAGAATAAACTATCAGCAAATAGGGAAATATAAGTGATATATAACATAGAAAAGTATATTACAATGAATTAAGGTTTTAGTTGAGATAAAAAAGTCAATGGCATGAGCGGGATTCAAACCCACGATCTTCGGCTAGATACGCCACTGCTCTATCACTTGAGCTATCGTGACCTCGATCCAACATAAATTACAAATATTACTTCTATCAAACTGCTATGATATTGTTGTCAGTCTCGGTTTAAAAATGAGCTTTAACCATCCCATTCACCAAACTTAGATTCCATGCTATCAATAGCTAGGTTATGTAAGCCCATATTTTTAACCTAAATTTCACACTTAAACTTTCACTCTTTCTTAACACATGACTGCCATTACTCACTTCTTGAGTCAACTAGTCATGCATGCGATATGCCTTTTGTATTTCAAAAGTGACAATAATTCAGGCCCAGGAGACATTTTGGTGTTTAATGCTCCGCTGTCAATGTTTTAAATATGTTCTTTCCTCTTTACATACCATTTACAACAGTAGGGAGACAGAGTACTCAATATTTTTCCCTTAAAAATGACTACTAATTTGGGAGCTGATGGCAGAATATTTAATGCCCTGCTAATAAATACTTTCAATGCAACAAAATACATGGGCTATTTAAAGCTAGGGCCAAGCGGGGAAATTGTAAACAAAATTTGTATATTTCACTTTCATCTCTATTGTCAAACAAGGTTGTTTAGGGTGAAGATGATGGTCTTCTCACTATTCTTCTTTCATATCTCCTTTTTGCATTGTGCAGTTCCAATATGCTTGTATATCAGGGTGTTTCAGTCGCAAACAACAGAAACTTGTTCTGAACAACCTGCAGCCAAGCAACGCAAGAGGGACATGCAGGAGCATCAGTCTGACCACTACCTTGTACAGGTTAAAAGGATCTCTCTTTATGATCTTTCACACCATGGCCAATATTGGTTTATTGAGGACTTATTCTTAACCCGTTGTCCCATGCATTTGGCAATTTGGTATGCCATGTGCATTCTCTATTATTATCTAGAACTCTTTGTTAAGCTCAAGTGTTTTATCAGATTATTCAGGCATTAGCTTTTCCTCTCCCAGTAGTAGTCAGCCCTGTTAGTCAGTCAGTAGTAGGAATCTCAGCCTGCATCGACCTTTGCCACCAACAAAGGACATGATACACTGTTTCTTCTTCTTCCATGTCAATATTTGCACATGCTTGTTTCTGCTGCTTTCCAAGCCTATATGCCTCCATAGTGTACAGGATCCAATCAGCAGTCTTCTCATTCTAGTCCAAACATGCCCTAGGTTTAGTAGTCCTGTTAGTCTCTGCGATGGTCCTATTATAAACCTGCACATGGATGGCTTGGAATAAAATCCTAATAAACTGAGGACTTATTCTTAACCTGTTGTCCCATGCCTTTGGCAATTTGGTATGTCACAAAAGGTCCGATAGGAGTCCTCTTTCTCCTTGGCCAATTTATCAGCCTGTGTGCTTCGTTAAATAATTAGACACTGACACAATAAAGATAATGAAATGCATCACATGGTCCAATCCAGCTAGGATAGGCGGTCCTAAATGATCGGAAACGACCAATTTTTCAAATATTTCAACTTTAACCCGCGAGAAACGAACGAAACGAAAATTATGAAATAAAACAAAATCGAAACATTCCCCTCCAGTGCTCCTTCGACAATAAATTACAATTTTAATGAAGCTATAAAATCATCAAAAGCTTTAAGTACACAATCAGCGATTCGTCTATAACTTTTGATCAAATATACCGTTACGAGTATTCGCAAAAGTTGCACTTTTCCACCAACAATCCGGACAGATGAAAGTGGAACGAACCGATTTAAGGGAGAAGACAGGAGAGAGTGTTTTGAGAGCGTGCTAGATAAAAAACAAATTTCTATTACACATCGAACGCATCTCTCTATCTGTCTTTATTCCGCCAAGGAAGGTAGTTAAGTCCATTTTAATTAAATTTAATTAATTTAAATTAAAAATGAGACACTCCCCGATAAATGCAATAAAAAATAGTGCACGGTATGCAACTAGAATTTGGAACTTCTACTTTAAAAACAGAGAAATAAAGTAGAAATTCTTCCGATGATTTGTTCCTAGCCGGTTTTCTTAGAAAAATTCGTTTTAGACACGGTATATAGTACAAAAAGGATACCCAGTATAGACCCATGAGATAAGGCCACGATAAATGCAATAAAAAATGTGCGTGGGATGCCACTAGAATTTGCAACTTCTACTTTAAAAAAGTCAAATAAAATAATAAATTCTTCATTTATGACGCCTTATATTATAGAAAAAGGATAGGATCCAATACAGACCCATGGTATACTCCACTAACTTGTACCACTCTTAACTTGTACTAAAAAAAAAGTCATATGAAGTAGTAAATTATTCATTTGATTTGTTGGGAACATTAATTTCTGCACCGTATATTGTAGAAAAAGGATAGGATCTAGTACAGACCCATGAGATACTCCATAATAAATCTAATAAAAAAAGTGGGATGCCAGTAGAATTTAGAACGGTACTTAAAAAAATAAGAAAAAAAAGGGAAATAAAGTAATAAATTCTTCGTTTGATTTGTTGTTGATCGGTTTTGTGGGAAATTTCCTTTCAGACACCGTATATTGTAGAAGAAGGGTAGGATCTAGTACAGACCCATAAGACACACGGCGATAAATTCAATAAAAACCGTCATGGTATGCCACTAGAATGCCTACCTTGTACTTGAAAAAAAGAAAAATAAAAATAAATTATATGAAGTAGTAAATTGTTCATTTGATTTATTGGGAAAATTAGTTTCTGCACCGTATACTGTAGAAAAAGGATAGGATCCAGTACAGACCCATGAGATACTCCACGATAAATCCATCAGAAAAGGGTGTTTTAAATGCCACTAAAATTTTGATTAAAAAAAAAAGATAAATATACCAATAAATTTTTCGGTAGATTTGTAGTTGGCGGATTTATGGGGATAATTCATTTCTGACTCTGTATATTCTGAAAAAAGAATAGGACCCAGTAAAGACCCATGAGATACTTTACGATAACTTCATTAAAAACGGCCATGGGATGCCACTAGAATTTGGAACGGTACGTTAAAAAAATGACAAATAAAGTAATAAATTCTTCGTTTGGATTATTGTCGGTCGATTTTGTCGGGAAAATTCGTTTCAGGTTCTGTATATTGTAGAAAAAGTGTAGGATCCAGTACAGACCCATGAGATACACGGCGATAAATTCAATAAAAACCGTCATGGGATGCAACTAGAATTCGTAAGTTGTACTTAAAAAAAGAAAAAGAAGTATGAAGTAGAAAATTCTTCATTTGTTTGGTTGGGAAAATTAGTTTCTGCACCTAATTAATAAATTGTAACCTAACTAATTTATATTGTAGAAAAAGGATAGGATAAGGATAAAAGGATAAAAAGGATTCATCCAGTACAGACATATGAGATACTCCACGATAAATCCAATAAACAAAGTGCGTGGGATACCAATAGAATTTGTAACTTGTACTTTAAAATAAGTCAACTAAAGTATTAAATTATTCATTTGACGTGTTGCGAAAATTCATTTCGTACTCCGTATATTCCAGAAAAAACTATAGGACCCGGTACAGGTCCGTGAGATACTCCTCGATAAATTCTATAAAAACGGCTATGGGTTGCCACTAGAATTTGGAACGGTACTTAAAAAATGGTCAATAAGTAATAAATTCTATTGATTTGTTGCCGGTTGAATTTGTGGGAAAAATTCGTTTCTGACTGTATATTGTAGAAAAAGTATAGAACCCAGGACAGACCCTTGGTATACTCCACGATAAATCAAGTAAAAAATGTTCATGGGATGCGACTAGAATTCGTAACTTGTTCTTTAAAAAAAGTCATATAAAGTAATAAATTCTTCATTTGATTTGTTGGAAAAACTAGTTTCAGATGCATTATATTGTAGAAAAAGGATAGGATACAGTACAGACCAGAAGTATACTCCACGATAAACTTAGTAAAACGGTTCATGGGATTCCAGTTGATTTTGTATATTGTACTTAAAAAAAAAATAAAAAGTCAAATGAAGTGGTAATGGTAAATTTTTCATTTGATTTGCTGGAAAAATGAGTTTCTGCACCGTATATTGTAGAAAGTTTGATAACTTGTACTTAAAAAATGGCAAATAATGTACTTTTCAGACTTTTGATATTTCCTTAGTTTTATAAAGTTTTTGTGGATATTTTGACCAAATTTTATGAAGATTGATACACGGAATCAATTTGAAGTAGCAACAGGCCAAAGTCGCTAACTCGCTACTCTCGAATAACCGAGGCTTCAATTTGGATATATCGAAAAAAAAGATACTTTTCAAATGTTTAATCTTCGTTTGATTTGTTGCGAAAATTAATTTCGGACTCTGTATATTCCAGAAAAAGGATAGGACCCAGGACAAACCCATGAGATACTCCGTGATAATCCAGTAAAAAATGTGCATGGGATGCCACTGGAATTTGTACCTTGTACTTAAAAAAAAGGCTAATAAAATCTTCGTTTGATTTGTTGTCGATCGGTTTTAGTTTGTGAAAATAATTTCCGACGAAACTTTCACCGAAAGGCTTTTCCTGGAACTTCCGGCTGGCGGGGCTGAGGAGTTATCGGCCCGATTTGTGTCTGAGTCAAGGTTGAGTGTTTTCCGGTTCGTGGGAAAAGCGTTTTCCGTCTCTCGTTCCTTTCATCCTAGACGGGTAGAGAAACTGAAAACTTGAACGAATAATCCTCTGAAGAGGGAAAAAGTGTCTGCGTCCTGGCGGGGCCGGATTGGCAACACTGTGACGTCGTAAATCGATTTCCTCGGACGAAAAAGCCAAACCTCGTCTCAATTTTGTGATATCGCCCGAGGAGGAGGAGTAGGGACAGGAGCGAGAACTCGAAAAGAGGGAGATCCGATATTATCCTTGTGCAGCTGTCGTCAAAATCCCATCAGTTTTTCCAGTCCCGACTCGTCTCTCGGCACAATTCGACGAAAGATGTTTTTCACCGTCTCGAGTGTCGCATTCCCGTGTTTTGAAATACAGTGAAAGCATGAGTAATGAAAGTAATCGTTATTTAGTTGACTCTGGTAACTTGACTTTGACCATCACGTCCGGGGAGGGCGAGAGTTGTGAACAGACGGGCGAGGACGATGTGTGCCAGCATTTATACTTCTTGCACCAGCAATCAGAGCACATCAACGAATTGAGATCTCAGTTGAGTGCGATGATGGCCGAAAGGGATCTTTTGTTGTGTGAAGTGAGCCGTTTGAAGTTCGAGTTGGAAATCGCCAATTTAAAACGAATCAACGACGACAGGTACTCAATACATTTACTCCTACTTTAAATACATTACTCGTGATATTTTCCCTTTTCAACTGTGATACTTGATTATCGATTTTTTTTACACTGATTTTGTTTTCATTCCGCCCTCCCGACGGGATGTCGATTGCATTTTTCCTTTAACATTCAAGGTCCGTATTAGAAAAACCGCCCACCCGAATTGTCGAAAGTGCAATTTCTTTTTTACACCGGCCGCCCCCTCAAAAAAAAAAAAAAAAAAAAAAAAATACGTTTCGACCCGAGACCAATTAGCCCTCATTTGCTGACCTTCCTTATCACTTATTTTGTTTATCCATTCTGGTATTTTTCAGGGTTTTTTTAAAACTCTTTCCAGTATTAGAGTAAATTTTTTTTAAAATCCGTTTTTACACTTTTATCTTTCCAATATCGCTATCATCGTCTATCATATCACGAAATATAAGAATCCTCTTAGAAGAAAAATGCATTGTTTTTCTATTTGCAGTGCGAATAAATCATCTTACATTTCGTAATAATTCATTAACGACCAACAACAGCGAGGATCTGGGTCCCCTGATAATATTCTTGGAGAAAACAAGGTTGTTTTATTGTATATAGTACTGATAATTTTCTGTCCCTTGCTTGAGTTGAGTGAATGTATTTATTAGCGTGAATATGTAGTGTGAGAGGTGCACATCGACCCTCAATTGGTTAGTTATATAGTAGGTGTAAAAGGTTATGGTTTAATATTGAATATTCTACCACCCCAAGTGAATGGCTTATAAACAGGAAAAAATGTACTTAAGTGTGAATGAGAGAGTGAATGGGATCTAGGAAGTGCATGCGTTGGGTGCTGAATTGACTTAGCTATTGACAGCCCCTGATGCCCAACTTTGGTGGTTGGAGGGATAAGTCCTAGGTCTGACCCCAGGCTGCCAACACCCAGGATGGGTGATTCTCGTTGTCAGCCGGTAATTTATTGTAAATTAGAAAAGCTGGACATAGTGGTGGACTACGAGAAGTGATAAACTCAGCTCTGCACATGTGTAGATTTGAAATGATTTAAATCCAAATCCAAAATACAAATTTTTTTATTGTTTCAGAAATAAAATATTTCAAAATTTGTACTGACTCACAATTCATAAATTAAAAACGTAAAATAATCCACTAGGCTCAATTTATAACTTGGATGTTTTATAATGGGAAATCCATTTTACAATTTGGTCTTTCTATGATCACTATCGTTTATAATATTAGGAAATATAAGGCTGGTAAAAGCATTATTATTCCATCGTCCAGGAAAGACAAGAAATTTCTCCTCTTAGAAGAAAAATGCATTGATTTCCTATTTGCAATGCAAAGAAATCCTCTTACATTTAGATATAATTCAATAAGGGCCAACCAGACAGCGAATATCTGGGTCCCCTGTTAATATTCTTGGAGGAAACAGGGTTGTTTTATTGCATATACCAGTCACAGTTTTATGCCCCTAGTGGGCGTTGAGAGTGAATGTATTTATTAGTATAAATGTTTAGTGTGAGAGGTACACATCGACCCTCAATTGGGTTAATTAGTTAATTATATAATGGGTGTAAAGTATGATGGATGAGTATCGAATACTCCACCACTCGCCTAGTGAATGGCGTGTAACCAGGAAAGAATGTACTTAAGTGTGAATGAGAGAGTGAATGGGATAGGAAGTGCATGCGTTGGGTGCTGAATTGACCTAGCATTGGTGGACCTAGGTCTGACCCTGAACTGCCAACACCCAGGATGGGTGATCTCGAGGTCTGCGCGGATTTGAGGTTATATAAATTTTTATTACTGGATATTCAAAACTACATATAATATATTTTTAGGTCCAACAAGACAGCGAGTGTCTGGGTCCCCTGTTCCGATTCTTAGAGGAAATGTGGTTGTTTTATTGTATATAGTAAGGTTAGTGTTGTGTACGTAGCGTTTGTTGAGTGAATGTATTGATTAAAGTGTGAGAGGGCTGATGGCGTAATATTGAGTACCCCATCGACTGTCATTTAGGTTCGTATGTATTATAATATTAATAAGTAATCTTATTGATTAATAATAATTACAATATAACTATTGTTTAATAAGTGTAAATGGTGATGGTGGAATATGGTGTTCTCCACCACTCTGAGCGAATGGCTTATAAACAGGAAAGAATTTATTTAAGAGTAAGTGAGAGTGTGAATGGGAGACTGATTATGTTGGAGGGGGGGGGGCAGAAATGACTACATGTGCAGATTTGAGCTTATATCTCATAGCTTATAAATCAATAATCTGTATTTTGCTTATCGATCCAGTATTTTTTTAAACAATTTTTCTAAGTTTTTTAACTCCTTCTAGGATTAAGAGTGAATTTCTTTCATCCTCTTTACTCTTTCATTATTCTGAATGTATGATTATCATATCAGGAAATAAATATAAGATGAGTAAAAGAATTTTTTTTAACAGCCAGGACAGATAAGGAATTCTTAGAAGAAAAATGCATTGTTTCTCAAATTGCATTATGAAGAAATTTTCTTACATTTAATAATTAAGAACTTCGTAAGCGACTAATTCAATTTCCTAATATACATTATATTTTTATTTAATTATACCAATGTTGCATTGTTAGTTGTACATCGGGTCAAAAAAAATTATACATCTGTTTGTTTTTTGTTTATTGTTTTACCATTTTCTTCTTTAATTTGCTTGTTACTGACTTTAAAATCACTTGTAAATAATAATAAAACCAGTCACACAGTTTTATCGTTATACATTGGGAAAATAGTCCAACGGTAATCTGAGGGGATCAGATGGGGGCCCATGAGAGAAAGGAATGGAGGTTGGTGGAAGAAGAAAAAGATAGAGCGGTAGAAAAACAGTGAGTTGTGGGGAAAAGGCAAAAAACTTGAATCCTGTTAAACAAAAATGAAGCGATAAGAGGGGATTTTTAAAAAATAACATAAAATGACAAGCGTTGAGTTAAATTTAGATAAATTTTGTGGTAAATTCGCCTTCATCGGATAAACTGGTACTCTTCTTACATGAAGACTTGTACTTTTAAATCTGGCGAATAAAATAACAAAAAAGACTAAATACCGATCTATCTCAGTTGTTTCTGCAATTGCCGGCATATGGTAAAAAGTGTCGCATGATTATACAGTAAGCGCACAACTGGCCATTTGGACGAATAAGAAGATGTTATGAGTGAATGAACTCGAAATAATTATTTCTGACAAATAAGTGCTAAAATTATGTAAAGGAAAGCGGAGATGTACAAATAATTAGTCAGTAGACAATTGAAAAAAAAAAAAAAAAAAAAAAAAAAAAAAACTGTCTCGTGAATATTCATTCTTCTATTTTGCAAATACAAGTTTGACATTAAATTGTTGTTACATATTCCACGTTTATATCACACTCTATTGCGGTCATGTAAAAATTGTTAAATTACTGAAAACTTTAAGAAAACATGACAAAAATAAATCAGAATTAATTTCAATCCAGGAAGGGTCGTTTACTGATGTTAATTAATGCTAAAACACATCTGGTCTAAACATAAGTTGGAAATAGATAGCCCAAGATATGATACAATTAAGCTATGGATACATAAAATGAAAAAGACCATAGATTATGTAACGATAATGTAGGGATGAAAAGAGCGAGATAGAGGTAGGTGGAAGAAGAAAAAGGAGCAGTAGCAGAATAGTGAATTTTGGGGGAAAAGCAATAAACTCACATTCTGTCAAACAAATAACAAAAATGAAGTGATAAGAGATGGTAGGGCTTTCAAAAACATCCCATTACGAAAATGAAGCTCATTGTTGATAAAATCACTGAAGCGTCGAGTTAAATTTAGGTAATTTTAAGGGGAAATTCACATTCATCTAAGTTATGCCTCTGCTAGTGGTAGATTTTTATAATAACAAAAAGCTTTAAAAGAGTTTTCATAGTTTTACTCAAAATGTTACTTTTCATCAGTTATAAAATAACAGGAAAAAGTAGACTGGGTTTGTAATTTTCTATCGTGTAGGAATATTGTATTTTTTATGATTATTTGGAGATCGTGAGATGCGGTCTGGCGTGATGTAAGTTTTAGAAAAATATTGTCTTTATCATGCCAATGTTTTGATCTTTATTGAGATCATCTTCAGGGCCTGGGATTTATAAACATTGTTTAAACTATACAAATACATGTAGGATGTGAAAAAATGAATTCATACAATGATAGAAATTTTAGATTTAATCAAAGTATTTGTTTTCTGTGTAGTTGTGTCATTATTGTGTGTCGTGTTGAGAGTGCCAGTGAGATATTAATGTTTTATGTTTATATACGTTGGATTTTGAAGGGTATTTTGTATTTTTTATGTTCTACAACACTAATGAGTTTTGTTCAATCAAGTTATTTTTAGTTAGTTTTATTGCAGTTTGGTTTATGTTCGAATACATGCTTATAAAACTTCTAAAATAACATGTTGACCCCAAATCCGAATGAATTATTTTACTACTAAATACTCACTTTCAGCTGTAAAATATCTTGATCACACAGTTTCCTATAATTAACTCTATTTGTTTCTGGTTCTGAACTGGATCCGAATTTGAGGGATTTGCAGTTGTTGAAAATGAGGTTTGAGCTGATATGATTAAATTACACCTCATGGATGTATGGACATTCTTGGGCTTGCTGTGTAAAACTAGGGCCTGAAAGGATGTTCCATTACCTCGCTGAATGCCTCATCTCCACAGACTTTGGCTGCGAAACAGTTGCCAGCCTCTTTTAAGAAAGTTTTGGATGGGTCTGTTCAAATTATTAATTATATCAGATCGCGGCTATTGAAGACAAGACTTTTCGCAATAGTGTCGACACAGAAAGCCTTCATTATTCCCTCCTTCTCCATACAGAAGTGAGGTGGCTGTCTCTCGATTTCAGAAATTACGTTCAGAAGTCTTTATCTTTTTGATGGACCACAATGTCGAATTGGCCAACGTTTTCAGTAATGAGAAATACAGTTGTATTTATAAGATATTTTTCATTAAAATGAACGAGATGAGTCTTTCTTTGCATCAGAAGAGTATCGCGACTTTCGATGCTAATGACAAAGTTCACACTCAAAAAAAAAAAAAAAAAAATCGGTTGAATCTGTTGAGAAGGAAGAGTTGAGTGTTTTCCTGTGTTAAATAATTTTTTTTTAAAGGAAAAAAAAGTTGATCGATGAAATATGTGAACACTTTCAAAGTTGGGAGCTGTCCTTTGAGCACTGCTTCCCAACAGCTCGAGATACAATGATGCGAGACCGTGAATGGGTGGTCAAACCGTTTTTAATTTTAACAAAGCTAACTAGTCTATCTTCAAGTGAAGACGAATAATGATAGACACTTTTCAGACTCCACCTTGAAATCTACTTTCAAGTCCGATACTTCGATTTTTAACTCCTCCTGGAAAACAAAAAATTTCAATCACTCGTTGAAAAAAGCAAAACTTGTTCTTCTTACATTTGCCACAAATTATCTATGCAAATGTGCATTTTCTATCTATACAACCATCAAAACTAAATAATAAAGCTCTCTAGTTGTGGAACCCGACATCCGTCTCCAGCTATTAAAAATGAAACCCAACATATTCAAATTGTGCAAGCTAAAACAACCTTACTCTTCCCATTAATTCATTAATTGTTATTCAAATTATATCTCTTGAATTTGACTTGAGTTTTATATACCTATTGATTCTGTTCTGTCCAATTTGATATTTGTGTTCCAGATTTTGTAAATGAAGTTAAGTAGGTAGTAACCTATGTCAATTTAATTTTATTTTCATAGTGATATCCCTCTTCATCACCTAATTAGGATAATTAGGACTGGCTAATGCTAATTTATACAACTTTAATTTAGTACATGTACTATAAGTGTCTAATTTGAAATACTTGAATGCGAGGGGTCTGCCCTGGATTTTGGTCTGTGAAAAGGGTCCGCTGGCTAAAACGGTTTGGGAAGCCCTGCCTTTAAAAGACATTCGTCTGCTCCCCGTAAGCGGCAGTTTGCTGTCTGTAAGTGATGATCAAGCTAAACTACTGAACAGATCCAACTTATAAAATATTGTAAGCATATCAGTATGAGTTTGTTAACTGTTCAAATAAATTACCATTATTATTATTATTTACAATTAATTAAGGTTTTTAGTTGAGATAAAAACCTTCATTAATTGTAATATATTAATTGGTCAAGCGGACCACGAAATTAGTGAATTTAGGAAATTATTATTATTACTAAATTTCTCGCTCATAAACCATTCACTATTAGTACATCACCAAAATATTGAAATTTTTGATGGAAGCGTACACATTTACAATCGGTACAATTTCAGATAAAGTACGTATTTGAACATACACGATTCAGTCAATAAGAAAGGCACAGATAATTCAGAAATCAGTGATCGACGAAACAACCTCTGATAAGAATTGAAAAATGTCACATGCTATTTCGAATGTATGAGTCATAAAAGCTGATAGTATCCCAAATAAAGCACTATTATCAATTGTCACATTTAAAATTAAAAGTTGAATGACATGTATTTGTCATAATTTGACATGTATTGTTTAATTATGATATTTTGACAAAGTCGGATAAAGCTGTCAAAGCTTTGGCACTAACTTACAGAGGGCGACCTATTTTGTTTAAAAAAAAAAGTTACAATTAAGTCATTCATATAATTTACTATAAATTAAATCTATCTATGAAATTATTTAAAATTAATTTATTATTAAACTTATTATTAAATCTATCTAAATATAAATCAAATCTAAATCTAAATTGTAGATACAATTTCTTTCGCCCTAGAGAATAAAATAAAGAGTATTGCTTGAGTGTGTTCCTGGATGGCCCAGGTTTTTGTTAGGGTTTGGAAAACGGGCATGCTTTGTAAATTTAAATACTTCCTACCCACCACTAATTACTTTATTCTGGAATCCTATTTAACTGAAAACTCAGAGTGAGGTACAACAAGTATGTACCAATCCTTGGCATCTGACAAGGGAGCATTCTTGGTCCCATTCTTTATAAAAATGTATACTGTTGACTTGTAGATCTTAACAGAAAACTTGGACAACTAAGAAGACTTTTGGGACAGAAATCTGTTCTGTCAAAGCCCAATTAATTACAAGATGTTACTGCTACTCTGGACACAATATCTGTGAGGTTCCTCCACTGCATCCAATCCTTCCAATCAAAAGACCTAAGACAAATTGTCAAATTATTATATATTAAATTTTCAGTAATTTTAACATTTTTACCCGCCGACATAACTGTTGAATATTTTAACACAGACTTGCCGTTAAACTGTTTGCAAAAGAGAAGAATGAATATTCACGAGACGCTGATTTCCCCCCACTTTTAATATGATGGTTGTTTACTGAACAATTATTTGCCCATTTCAGCTTTCCTTTACATAACTTATTTTAGCACTTATTTGTCAAAAATATTTATTTCAAGTACACACTCCGTTATATAATGAAGCGGTTCCATTCGGTCTTCTTATTTGTCCTGTTGTGCACCCACTGTAGAATTATGAAGTGTTTTTTGTCATTATTTAAAATATTTTTCAGCAATTGCAGAAATGACTGGACAGTTTACAGGTACAACTTGTTTTTAGTGTTAACAAACAGAAGGGAAGGTGATAACGTGTAGATTGAGAAGGAGGAGTGTTGGGTTTCACGTTATTTACTCATTATCGTAATTTCTTATACTGTCTGTAAACTGTTACCTAATTTTATTTGTTGTTTTTCTTTCAGACCTGAAAGTTCAAAAAGTGATCCTGCAAAAAGCAACCATGAAAGAGGGATAAATGGCAGTTGCAACGGGGACAAAGAAAAGTATGATACAAATACATCCAGATATGTTCTATATTCTATGTTTTGTTTATTTTTTAATATTTTTAGCGATGAACCTACATTTAAAGGAGAATGTAGCCCCTCGAGTTCGTACTCTGCTCACACCTGGTCACAGGGCATAAACAAAAAAGGTTCATTCCGGAATAACAATGATGCATTACAGCGATCTCGAGTTCAACACGTGTAAGTGTATCATCTAATAATATGTATGTAATGTAGTGGTGGGTTTAAGAGGCGATAAACAGCTGAGGTCATCGCTTGCCCTCAGAGAGTTTTCATTCTTTTTCTGGTCATTCATGTATATTTTGTTTTAAACTGCACCCATTTGAGTGTCTCAATGGGGTTACAACTCTCTACTTTTTATGTATCTACGTTGATATCATAAAATACATCTCTTGTTTATACCTCAGGTTGTCAACTACAGAATAGATACAAAATATACAATACATAACATATAGTATTCTGGCCACATTCACTTCCCCAGAATACTCGATATTCCTCGGGGCGTGGTCGAACCCACTCCATCTCGCTAATAACTTACGTTTATTCTCCATACTTCATACCCTTATATCTGATAAAAAATTGATATTGAAAAAAATTGCTTGGCCCTATTGCCATCAGTTTGATTGACAATATAATTAATTATCAATATTTTATTACATTATTACAAAAGAGAAATAGGATGCATTTATTTCTCACTGTAGTGTGATAACCAACCTCAGGAATGTGGGGTGGAGACTGGGGTTAGAAGTAGAACTACACAGAAAGAGGAAGAATCTGTATTAAATTTTTTTTAAAATTATTATGATTAGAAGAAGAAATAAACAAGTACAACCAATTACCTAGGTTCTCAAGTTATATATAAAATTATAAACAAATAAAGATATCACAGGGAAAAGTTATCGCATTTATAAATCAACTTCACAATTTAAACTTTTTGACTGGAGTGAAATCACAGCACCCACAACTCAAGAATGTTTTGAAGGGTTTGAGCTTGACCTTCACCTTTTGTCCCAGGTTGAAGTGAATGGCGCCGTTCACCCGACCTGGGTTAGAGTGGAACTTTCTGAATTTGGCCGTAATAAATTCTTTGATGACAGGGAAGTTTAATTCTCGATGAAGTTGAGAGTTTCTCAAGTACCATGGGGCATATACTGCCATTCTGAGCATTTTGTTTTGCAATGCTTGGACTCTATTTTCATGATTGCTACTGCTCCCCATACCTGACTCCCATATAAGATTATCGCCTGGAATATCAATGTGCTGAATTTTGTTTTCAGCTTGCTCTTTCTATTTATCAATGGGTAGAGTTTCAGCACTCTAGCATTACCCTTCAGCTGCTTGTTTCTTTATGTGTTTGTCACAGGTCCAAATGGACAGTGAGGAAAACGTTGGGAAACAATTTTTGCTTCACATAGATGCATTTAAGGTGATTTTCCATTTTTCTATGTATAATTCGATTTCTGCGAGCACATTCTGCACATTGTCCTTAGCTGCCTTTATATTATCATCTTTGGTGTATATTACGGTGTCAATTACAAACATTGCTAGCTGAGAAACTGCGTGGTTAGGAAAAAACAGTTAATACATAAAGTCGTGGAGGGCTTATGGGAAACAGACTTCCCGCTTTTACAAGTTTTTCTATTATATACCATGGTGGGAATTATGGGAGTGGATTAGGCATGGTGGGAGTGATGATTATCGTTGAGCTCCTTATCAAGGGAAGATGGAACAAGTGGAAAGGTTTTAAATTTATTATTATTATTTACATTTTGATATGCATTTCCTCATTAGGAGAGCCTGTACTTTCTGCTGAAGCATCAATCTCTAACATTTTTGACTGTATTTAAGCAATTTTTCAAGTTAATTTAGTTGTTTTTTGGTAGTTGTTCTCAAAATTTATCGAGTTGTAAAATAAGTCTGTAGCAATTTTTTTTAATGCAAACTTATTAAAATTTTCAGATACTTGTAAAAAATTTAACTGACTATATATGAACCATTTTGTTACACTAGCTGGTTGCGACCTTAGGAGGCATCTCCCAGAACTCTCATGCTATTATCCGGTACCAGTCGTTTTGGTCAATTCATTACTTTTAAACACTCGAATCGTGTGTGGTATATACCAGAATTAACGATTAGGTTGGGCAGAAGTACTTATAATAAAGCACCCCCTTCAAACCCACCAAATGTCCCACCTATTGTGATGAAATCAGGCTTTTGGATTTTTGGGTCGGTACACTTTTTTCCAGGATTTTTCTCTCTGAACATTGTTTTGAAGGAAACCATTTACATTTCCAGTTGTCAAACTTTTCATAAATAGGTTATTTTAAGAGGGAATTGCTGATGAAGATGCAATCAGTCAACATGTAAGAAACTCACATGTCAAACAACATGTATCACTCCTATAAACGTATCCAGCTACTCTCTCAGTTGAAACATTTATATGAGATATGGTAAGTTTCTCTGCGGTGTCTCGTGCCATTGAGTGTGGGTTATTTACGACAAAAGCTTGAATTTGATAATATTCAATGGGTCACGACCAGAGTGCTTATCGCCTTTCAAATCAAAATGACTACTTCTATACTTAGTAAACGGATGAGGCTTCTCTCCTAAAGTGTCATCACCAGACACATCATTTACTTAGCAGTCTGAGCTACGGTTTTTCCCTTAGTGGTAATAAAAACTCAGTAAATGACAAAAATGCACTATTTTTTTCTTCTATTTTAAATTAAGCAAAAAAAAAAATTAAAAATAAATAATAATTTAAAAAAATACCTGCTTGCAGTAGGGAATCAATAGATGTTTTAGTCAGGAAAAGTAGTTTTTGTGAATAAATATAAAAGACGAAAGTCTTTAAACAGCGTAAGGATTTGTGTGAGGTTCAAGTTAAAGCAAGATCAGATCAGTTGATGCTCAACTTTAAAAAAAAAATATTTAAAACACTTATAAAGCTTGAAATCTCGTGGGGTTTCATTCTGTGTAAAACATGCAGTTTAATTAAATAAAATAAACTATTAGATTTTTAATCTAAAAAAAAACAAAAAAAACTGTCACTATCTCCTTAACACTTTCAATGCAGAGGAGGGACATTTACTTCCTACCTGTCTGAAAATGTGCTAGTCTTATTAGTCGCCGTAGATGGCATTATTTTTGTTTTCTCATATTCCTTTCAACAGACCTTCGGTTTGAATTTATCTACCCTAGGTTGCAAGCCATTTTCGATTATCTCAATTTGAACTGAAGTTATTTTTTATTTTTAGTTATTTTTTTCATTTTTTTAAATTTTGCTATAATTTGGTAATTAAACATAATTTTAATGTTTTAAAAATAGGTAGTAGTAGCATTTCTATAAAAAAAAATAAAATAAAATAACTTAAAATTTTTTTGCCGTTCTTTTACCAACTTTTTCAAAAAGTATTTTGTATCAATTTTATACTTTTTCTTTTACACTGATTTTGATTTTGTAACATTTGTTATGTTATTTCAGCTGTTTTTGTTCACAAAAACATAAAAAATGAAAAGCACGTTGTCGTAGAGGATATGTTCTTGACGTTTCTAGCTCTGCGCCTTAGCATTTGCCCAAATTTGCTAAGTTACTAATGACTTTTTTAATTTAAAATATTTTTTATTTACAAACAACGGATAAAAATAATAGTAACCGTCGGTAGTGAGGAAGCGATATTTGTTTATTATGTTTCTTTTTATAACATGATGCCTTGAAATAGATATGTACAGGCAACCTGGACACCCTGGGTAATTGAATTTGAAAGGGGTCAAAAAAAAAAAAAAAAAAAAATTAAAACCCAAGAACAATTAATATTCACTGAATTGTCCTATGAGGATTTATTAAAACTATTGAATTAGGACGATAGCAAGAAGGAAAAAGCAGACGACGATGACGGGGAAGAAAAATAGGCTTTATTCCATTACCCGAAATAGAGACTCGGAAAAGCAGAAGTTAGTACAACATTTTGCTCTGGTTGCAATGGGGTGTTGGGATTATGCCTTAGAGTTTGTTTTAAAAAATACCACGAAAATTTGAAATTTCAAAAGTTATAATTTCTTAATTATTTGTATTTATAGTTTATTTTAGTTGATTCATTAGTTATATGTGACCGGGTTCCTCTATGCACGGGCTGTTTCAGCTGGGGAGCAGGGTTCCCATCTCCAGCAGTGTTTCTGGAGAAGTGGGAAGCATGAAAATAGTTATTTGTTTATGTTATGTGTTTTCCTGAGGTAACTGAGAGGGGTCATCGAGTTAAGAAAATAGGAGACAAAATATGAGAGAGTGACAAAGATGAATGAAGAAAAAAATTTTTTCTATTTAAAGTGCAGAGAGTGGAGATGATTACTTGATGTTTGTCGGCCCATAAGTAATACATACGTCTACTTTGCTAGAGTTAAAACAATTAGCAAAAAGTTCTTATCTGTAAGGGTGTATCAAATATAAATGGGACTGATTGCCTTAAAAATTGACTTAGCTTGGCCCAAAAAATTTTCTAGAGGGTGTGAAAAGGTCGAGAAAGAGAGCCATGATCGCTGCCCAAGGACGGATGTGACTGAGGCCAACATTGAGGCGGCGATTCCACGATGTACAATGTTATTGTGAATTATTGGATGCTACAAAATTGTCATTTCAAAGTGAAAGGAAGAAATAAATCGGCCAGAAGTGTCATTTTTCAGCATGACAACACCAGGCCCTCAAAGCTAACACCATAAGGCAAAAATTGAAGGCAATAGGATGGGAAACATTAAAACATCCACCCTATAGTCCAAACTTTTCACCTATGACTTTCAACTTTTTAGAAGCACTCGGAGGCCAGCATTTCAACACAACAATGAAGCAATGGAAGCATTTTTGTTCCAATGCTTACGAGAACATCCCAACAGTTTTTATGGTGATGCAATAAAAAATTCTCCCAATCCAATGTGAAAAATGTATTTCCAGGGCAGGAAAATATGTAGAATAATAATATATTTTTGTTAGCTTAATAAATATAGTCAGATTTTTTAAAAAAATAGGTGCCATTTATATTTGATAAACCCTTGTATTTATTATGACGAAATTTTTATTTTATATTTTTAGGAAACTTGATTAAGAGATTATTAATTATGAAAGCTTGTATTGTATGTGTTTTTCATTAATCAGATTATTGTTTGATTTCATTAAAAATTGTTTAGCTCTAAAAAGCTCTTATCTGAGAATGAACAGTATGAATCACAATGATGTCGTGTGCCTTTCGGTGTTCTATTCTGGACATTCGGTCTCTGGAAAAGTAGAAGTTCAATTCGGTAGTCTGTTACTTTACAAGACCACAGTGAAAAGTTGATTTCACATTCGCTTCATGTCGATAATTTCTTATTTGTTTTATTTGCAGGTATGAATTATCGCAAGATCTCCTCGACAAACAGATTGAAATGTTAGAAAGGAAATACGGTGGTGATAAAGCGAGGAATGCAGCTTTGATTATTCAAAGAGCGTTTAGACATTACACTCTAGTCAAAAAATTTGCAACTATAACAGCTATGGCTAAAGCTGAAAAAAGATTTAGCAGGAGGCTCGTTGGATTTCAAGAAGAAGGAAATGATACTCGGTTTTTAGACTGTACGTCTGTGAATAATCTTAAACAGAATACAAATTTACCATTACGATCGTTGTCGATGAGAGAGAAGCGTAACATTAATAATACAACACCTTCATTACCGAGAAGTTATTCTGGTCGGTGCGAGTTGGCTTGCTATTCAAATTCCACATTACCAGAATATTACGCACCTGGAGAAACATCTGTTGAAATGAAACAGGTAATACTTTTTATGTAATAGTTTTTTGCTTTTCAGTTTTTATATCTTAAAGCAAATTTAGGCTTCTTATTATGGCATATTAATTGATAAAATATAACCTTGCCTGTTACTCTGTTAATATTCTTACGATTTTTAAAAATGCAGGATGACCAAAACGGTGTTAATAAAGGGGCTAGAAATATGAGAATTCCTCCTGAAGTGCCAAAAAGAACATCGTCAATTTCTGTCCGTTCTCTGGAAAACCCAAGTGGAATAAATCTGAACAAAAACTCGGACAGCGGAAGTATTTCCAGTGTTCAGTCTTCTGGAAGCGATTCCAGTGTAATTCCTCCAGCGAACTCCATTAAAAATCCACAGGTATAACTTCATAATATACAAATTATACATTTTAAATTTTTTATATATTATTGGGTGTGTGCATAATTTTTTTTCCGGTTTTCAAAAAAAAAAAAAATATATATATATACATTTTACTTTTAATCCAAAACATTTTTTTTATAACATACCGCCAACTGTTTTGGTAACGGAAGTATCTCCCTTTTGTTAAAGTCTGATAATTTGACAAGTAGAAGTCTCTTAAGTCCGATTTTCAGTGTTTTCAACCTAAAATACCTACTGTTTTAGTGGCTGTCTAGGAGGGAGTGGAATAACTAAGAAATCAGAAGGGGCAAGTCTGGAGAGTATAGGTTGGGCAACTGTTGCTACGCTAACTCGAACTTTACCCTGAGTGTGCGCGTTGCCATAGCAAACACAATATTGTGTCCATTCACCAGGTCTGGTCATTTTTTCCTTCAACACTGACCCAAGACGCTCTAGCTGGGCACTGTATACCTATGCGATAAGGGTTTAATGATGATGATGAATGTACTTGGAAGTCAGGGTTGTCTTTTTGTTCCCCCAAGCATTGCAGCCTTCTGGCTTATTGTATTTTCCTATTTCCTCAGTTCAGTAGAATCAACTCAGTCCTCCTAAGAAGTACTAGGTCATTGACTGTCATTGCTACAATTCGTTTCCCTTGTTTTTCTTTGTATCTCAGGTTATGTCTCCATTGAACACTTTGCATTTGAAGATGATATGGGTGGCTGTTCTTTCCTTTTCATTGCATAACCTAAAAAATTCGAGCCATCCTTGAGTATAACTATATTTTCTCCAGTGGCTGGTAGTTCTGAGTTTAGCCCTTTCTTACTGTCGTAGTAAGTTTGCCAGTCTTAATGAGGGTTGTCATAAGGGTTTGGTTGTGTGATAACAGTTCCTAATAAATTATTCCTCAAATATTCCACCAAACAGACAAATTGGACCTTACAAGGATATAATGGTGGTATTTCATTCTTCTTGCAAACAGTCCTTCAGCGTTAAACATTTTTTTACGGACTTCACTTCTCATTCCCAATGACCAATAGGAAATGAACCCTTCCGATTTATTGCTATTCAGGAGTGAAATGCAACAAGCCATGTGGTCTTCTTTTTTCATGAGTTCCACAGTGTAACCCAGAAATTTTTCTTTCTATTGTGCGATGTACCTGAAATATCTCTTATAGCTCTACTACAGTTAATTTGTCCTCATCCTCCAATCTTCGCTTTGAAGCACATTAGGTGTTCCACAAGGCTGGTCTTTGATTTGTCTCCATTACAAAAAGTCCGAACCACTTGAGTCTTAACACGTTCAGTTACTATGTTATCACTATTCAAAAGGGAATTTCAAAAGGGATCTTCTGCCCTATGCCTGAGATCGAACTATAGTAAGCAATGTCACAAATGAATTTTATCTGCTTCCATATCACGTAAACATCGCAGTTCATTCTAGACTGACTTTTGGGATCAACTACCCCTTTCTCGGAAAATCTTTTGCAATAGGGCTTTTCCCACCCTAGAGCTAACGAGAATAGCAATAAGGGGGGCGTCAGTGGCCGCAACGGTTTAGGCATTGACACGGCGCTCATCACTGTAAGGTAAAGGCCCGGGTTCGAATCCAGCGGCTCTACATTCGAACCCGATATACTGGGCTTTTTTTCAAAAACACCGGCACCTCGAGGGTTGTTATAACCTCTGTTGTTGCAAACCCTCGTAAAAAAGAAAAAAAAGCAATAAGGGATCACTTTTTAAAAGGGTGAAAGTCAAAATTTGAAAAAAAAATGTTATGCACATACCTAATTTTATTTTAAAAAAAACGTTGAAGTTGTTTTGTTTGTAATCGAGTTTTTATAAAATCCAATCAAAAATAAAAAAATAAGTATTTTCTAAGTTTCAAACAATCCACAATGAACTCCACATCCAATTTGTAATCGACATTATCCACAAAAATATAATTTTTTAATTTTATACTTTCTTGTTCCAACATTCTTGGAAATTTGGATTTAAATATAAATTGTTACATTGATAAAGCCTATGAGCGATTTCTCTTGAGCTGTATAATTTCAACGAACCCTTTACTTGGGATTAGCATTTCTAGTGAAATCACACTATATATTTTTACTATTAGTGTATCGTATTCTATACATATGTATTATTTATTTTTGTTTTAGGTGTCAGAGACAGTTAGAAAAAGACAATACCGAGTCGGATTGAATCTTTTCAACAAAAAACCAGAACGTGGGATAAGTTACCTTGTCAAAAGAGGATTTCTGGACAATTCCCCTCAGAGTGTTGCTCATTTTCTCATAACGAGGAAGGGCTTAAGTAAACAAATGATCGGGGAATATTTAGGAAATCTTCAAGAACCTTTCAACGTAGCTACATTAGAGTATGCACATTGTTTTACTGTCAAATAGTTTATTTTAAAAATTTAGTATGGGCTTGTTGGTCCTATTTCTCCTTCCATCTCAGTTTTTAGTAATAATTTTGGTTTAGTAATAATAACTACTATTTTTCCAAGTCACCCCTTTATTAGGTTTTCTATATCCTATATATAATTATTTTATGGTCTATTTTCTCTTTAACTAGTTGTATACCTACTTTTTGATAAACATTAAAATTTTATTTAATAGCACTTTTTCTCTTGTAATAATTTTTTCTCTTATATTAACATTAGTATTTTTTCCATTAAATAAATAATTACGTGTCAAGTGCAGGATTCGAACCCACGACCTGTGGCTCAATACGCTGCTGTTCTAACCACTCGGGCACCAGCTCCTCTTCTCAACCTAAACTGTTCAAATTTTCCCTCTTTTTGCCATTTTTTCCTTCCATTCTTGAATGACTGTACTGAAGTTATGGTATTAGTTGAGAAAAAAGTTACAACTATGAAATATCTTCATTTTTTACATATGAAATGAACACCCAAGACAACTGAAACATTCTTAGATAAAAATAACAAAAACATTAACAACCAGGGAAAATTAAAAAAAACCGGTCCCTTGTGCGATAGCAGTCCCGAGGACCACTAGTGTTTTTTGAAAAATTGGTACATTGTAGTTCAGGGAAAAAGAAAAGATCAATAGTTTTGCTCATTTATAATCGAAGGATATTGAAACATAAAAAAAATCTCATTTTGGCCTGAGGGTGAGATATGCAGTAGTGCTATGGCTTTTTAGGAAGTTTCGCTGGTTAGAAAAATAATGGCTAATGTTTATACAATATAAGATTATTTTTATATATGTTTCAAAGTTTATTTGTGTTATGTTGCAGGCTTTTTGCTCAAGAAATGGATTTGTCTGGTATGCAAGTCGACGTTGCGTTGAGGAAGTTCCAGACTTATTTTCGAATGCCAGGAGAAGCTCAAAAAGTAGAAAGAATAATTGAAGTGTTTAGTCATAGATATTGCCAATGTAACAGGGACATGGTCGCCAGATTGCGAAATCTCGATACAGTATTCGTTCTGGCGTTTGCTATCATAATGCTTAACACTGACCTACATACACCCAACCTAAAGGCGGACAGAAGAATGACGTTAGAAGACTTTATAAAAAATTTAAGAGGTATTCAAATAAATAAATTTTGTTTTATAATTTTTTTTTTTTATCTGATATCCTTTCTCAGGTGTAGACGACTGTTGTGATATAGATCGTAACATGTTAATTGGTATTTATGAGAGAGTAAAGGCGAATGAGTTTAAGACTGGTTCTGATCATGTGACACAAGTTTTAAAAGTTCAATCGACAATCGTTGGGAAAAAACCGGTATGTATACGTACAAATCTTGTACTTTTAACCTTATCAACACTTTCAACATAAAGGCCGTTCGGCCGTAGACCACCTGTGTCCCGACTCATTTCGATTCGTTTCCTGACCTGAGACATGTGGCATCCATCGGTACGGCTGACTTGACAAAGCTTCACTAACGTTAAATAAATTTCATAAATTGGCAAATGTTTGCTTTTTCTGTGTAGGAAAATAATATCCTATGTACAAAATCAACACAATGAGGTAAAAGGTGTATGTCTAGGGGCTTAACATAAATCGAAATTGCGATAATTTTTTTTAATCGCATAATTAGTATATTATTAAATGTTATAATTTAAACTTATATTTTTACTATAAAAATATTATATAGGCAATTAAAAATTATATAAACACTGACAGATTAAGTTAATGATTAGGTATAGGACAATTCTCATAAAGCTTATGTTATAAAACAACTAGTAAAACACATATTATACGAAACAAAATAAAACAATAATAAAAACGATAAAATAGAACAAATCACATATTAAAATATATCTTATAAAACCAACAATTTGATAAAATCAATTTATAATTAATAAGAAAAATTAAATTAAATAAAATTTATATAATACAAAATAATAAAATAAAAGTTTAAAATTATCAAATAAAAATTTACATACACATTCAGAACTAACTATATAGACAATTAATTAAGGTTTTTAGTTGAGATAAAAAAGTCAATGGCACAAGCGGGATTTGAACCCACGATCTTCAGCTTGATACGCCGCTGCTCTACCACTTGAGCTATCGTGACCTCGATCCACTCGGACACTAACTTCTCATCTCAACCCCACCTTTTTGAATTTTCCCTCCTTTTTGCCATTTTTTCAACTATATAGAATATATAATATAACTATATAGAATAACTATAAAGAATTGAACAAAGGTGTAAAAATTAAGTAAGAAGGTAAAAAAAATTATGTATTTTTCAATGTATAACTTTTTGTAATTACTAACTGGTGAAATAATTTTATTCTTCTGATCATCATCTTGCTGGTTATTGTCATCTTTGTCTAATTCACTAACAAATTCAAAATCATTGTCAGAATCAACAGATTCTAATATAGCATGAGGGGCCGTGGTAGCCAAGTGGTTAGCGTGAGAGACTCTCGGCTCATAGACCCTGCGGTTGTGGGTTCAATTCCCGCCATTGCTTCTGGCCTTTTTTTCATGATACCCTTCCCCCCCCCCAAAAAAAACGAATACGCATAACATATTGTCTGTCATTGGCTAATATGCATAGAACATAAAGCCATTAAAAAAAAGTAAAAAAAAGTTCTTCTTCCTAAAACAACAAAATCTATTCTAAATTCTAATAAAAAATTGATAAAACACTCAAAACTGTTAAAACTTCAGAAACCAAACCTTACATAAAAATTATAAATCAGTTTATTTAAAAATGTATGTACTATGCTGTTTTATTTTTATTTATTTATTTTTTATTTTTTTAAAACTCGGAATGCAAAGGCTGGGAAACTGCTATCTCAATACATACATAATTATAAATGTGTGATTTGTCACTAATGAAAATTATGGCGACAATTGTCTTTTTCCAAGATGAACTTTAAAAAAGCAGAACACACATAAGGAAAAAAATACATAATAAAAATTGCAAAAAAGACAAATTTCAAATAATTTTGAACTATTTTTTAAGTTGGTATAATGAAAAAAAATCTGTACTATGAGAAAATTTAGCTTTATTTTTATAAAAACTTTATCTTATTTTTAACAATCTGTGAAGTGATTGTACTTGTCAAACTGTGTACTAAAATGAAGCGGTGGTGGGTGGACCTGAAAACGACGAACACAGGTCAAAAGCAGGCACTCAACTACACCTAAGCGTACTGAAGGGAATTCATAAAAACCTGAACCCACCATGACAAAATGAATATAAATGAGAGCCAGTGCCAGGAGGTGTTCTTGGGCTTGCACAACCAAGCGCAGAGTGGCACTCAATGGGCATAAGTCAACCGTCATATAAGATTAATCGATATTAAAGGGGACAAAAAAGTTTTTTTTACATTTTTAATTGTTTTTGAATTTTATGTTTATATATATTAGAATTAGGTAATAAACATTTTCTTTTTAAATATTTTATTTTTACAACCAAACCTATTTTTGGTATGCAAAGTATAAACATACATTAAAATTTAAGCATGGTACATTTATTTTGTCCATCAGCGTACATTTATGAATATGTCGACTGTTTTATTTTATTTATTTATTCTTTTTTTAGAATTTGGCATTACCCCATCGTCGGCTTGTTTGTTACTGTCGGCTGTATGAAGTTCATGATATGTATAAAAAAGAGCGACCTGGAGTTCATCAAAGGGAAGTTTTCCTTTTTAACGATCTTCTTGTAATAACGAAAATCCTAAGCAAGAAGAAGAGCTCGGTAACGTACACTTTCCGACAAAGTTATTCGCTCTCTGGTCTAACAGTTTCACTGTTTGAAGTGCCACGTAAGTGTATTCAGCCTCATTTTTATTATATATTTTTATATAATAATAAATTTTTTTAAAAATAAAATAAATCTTTTCTTTGGAAGCTAGGGTAAGATAAGGCATAGGACTCCATAGGCCTCTTACATTTTCCATTTTTCTTTTTCATTTATGAGCCCTCACCATTCTGTGCTCACAATTTGTGTTATTCTGTGCCTAAATTATTTAAATCCTTTGTTTATTACCATGGGTGGAACTTGCCTTGTCTCACATTTGAATTTTCCTGGCAGGTTAATTTTCAAATTAAAACTCAAGAAAATTAATAAGAAAATATTTCATCCTTCTGTAATAAAATATATCATCATAAAGCAAAGGACAATTAAAAAATAGTGTAACTAAAGTTAAAGAATAAATTGGATTTTTTTTTCATTACAACCTATTTACTAAAAACGTGTACATATACATTTGGTTTTCTTTTTTTACATTTTTCTAAAGGCAAAAATAAAATGAAATACACACAAGTAAAAACAAAGATAGCCAAAATCATGTTAATAAACTGAAAAAAAGTACCCACACAATAAAGATGATGAAGCAAGCAAGTGACGGTTCGAAGTCCTTCTTGAAGAGCCAAGTTCATCGTTTTTTTAAAGGTGGCCAGAAAAAGCTTAAAAAAAAGGCTCTCCTTATTTGTGAAATACAAAAAAAGCTCCTCCTCTCACAGCCTCCGATTTGAGTTATTAGCCCCACTTGAGGGCTGAGGCTGAAGCTTGTTTTAACATCTTCCTGTTGTCTATCCTCTCGTCCTGTATGGTTTTCATACAGTGACCCTTTTTATCCTAGTTTTCCTGTAAAATTCCAGTTCCACTTTAACATTTAGCTAAGTTGGTTACATTGCCAACGTCAGATAGGCAACTATGCCAAGTAAGTTGGTAGGAATGCCACCTTTAATATCCTCACATTTATTTTTCCCTAACCAAGCTTCTTATTGTTTCCAATCTTCCTGTTCATCATAATTAATAAAATGGTATCAATCCTTTTGATATTTTTATATATATTTTTTAATTGTTGTAGATTATCCTTATGGTATACGCCTTTCACAGCGAGTGAACTCTCAAGTTCTAATCACCTTCAACGCCAGAAATGATCACGATCGCTGCAAATTTGTCGAAGACATCAGAGAGTCGATCAGCGAAATGGATGAAATGGAAAATTTAAGAATTGAAGCAGAATTGGAAAAACAAAAAAGCAATAGGAACGGGAGGTAAAGAAATTTTTCAGTCATAGACAAAAGATAAACAACTTTATAGGTATTTGCCAGCAATGCAATTTATATAATCGGGGGGGGGGGGGGAGATTATTTTGAAAGTGTCCAGTACTGGATAATTAATCAAAGAAAATAAGTTTTTATTTGAGCCTGAACCGGAACGCTTCCAAACTTCACAATTTATATTATAGCACTACATCATGTCATAAAATAAGTCAGTTTTTTTTAAAATGAATATTAAATGCAAATTTCATGTACTTCCTTTTTACCAGAACTTCTCAGGTTTTTGAGTGTTGAAATCTGTCTCTCCTCTCCCCTCCTGTTTTTCTCTCAGGTAGCCATGACCTAAGCTAGCAGGTCTTTTGCCAAAATAAAATAAAAGTAAAAAATGAAATGAACATAAATACATTTGAAAAATCTGCGTGGTGAAATAAACCCCACAAACAATAATGACTGAATAAGCATTGTTTAAAAACATGAAAAGGTTACAATTGAATTATTGAAAAACACTATGGACTTATTTTAAAAACCAATATAAGGCAGACCCTAGACCTACAATAATATTGCACCATTTATTGTGCAATAGTATTGAATAGTTAGGCTGACCCTAGGCCTACAATAACATGGCACAGTACTTTTTTTGCGCAATAGTATTGAATGCTAGGCTGACCCTATGCCTACAATAAGATGGCACAATACTTTTACTGTGCAATTTTCTTGAATGACATCTTTATCCCAATTTATATTAACACTAGACTTAGTCTAAAAAATATTTTGCAATATTAACCCTACGTGGTGAATTGAAAAAATATGGTGCAATAAAAATTAAACTCGCTCAAACTTTTGTTCAATCATTGAGAAAACTTTAATACTAACCCTAAACGGTCAAAAATATGCGCAGTTCATAATATTGATCATCTAGAGCACTTAGGGAAAAAATCCGATAAAACTTAATCCATTAATTTTCACACATTCATGTTTCCATTGATCACTTTTTATCTTTTATCAGTTATCATTGATACATGTAAAAAACATGTTTCCACTTATATTAACAACCATAAGCATTATACATAATAATTTATGAATGCATGCTATTAAACGAACTTAATAACGAATTGCTGGCATAACAAAACTTTTATATTAAAATGTGATGAGGGATGAGGCCAATTAGAAAGAAAATAAATAATTCCTTCATTACATAAGACAAGAAGCGATTGTTTTAGCAAAGGTTCCTTTTTCTTCTTTTTTCTTAATAAAATATTTATTTTCACAATTTTAATTGTAATTTTCTTGGGAGAGTAAAATTCATATTCTTTTAGGACTGTTGGTGGTAGCTGCAATGAGAACCGAGACAGTGGGGTCGCCGATGTCGAAGTTTGCCCTTGTATTCATAGCGAATCGCCGATGCATTTCAACGAATCTCATTCCAACGCTAATTTAAAACGATCTGCCCTTAGTAACTCGCTTCTCGACATACACGACCAAGCTCAGTGCAGTTCTTCCCAATTTGCCGAACCTCAGCAGATTTATTCTACCTCCCTCGACCAATCCGATTCACTGTGATAACATTCGAGCCCTGAAAAATTTCCCCGTAAGAAAGAGTGAGATATTGCCGTTGAAATGTATTGTTATGTATTATCAGCTAAAAGTTATGCAAGAAAAAAATGTATAACATGGGAAATTTAGATAATTGTTTAAATTATTTTAGATACTATACAGTCCCTTGATATCTTGTCTTATTTAGTAATACTAAACCTAAAATATAAAATAACCTTTTCATAAAAAATATTATAAAATGTAAAAAAAATTGTTATTTATTGCATACTTAATTTACATTATTTTAAACAATGAATTTGTGTACCATTTTTAAATATTAGAGTATAAAAGTTTTCTCATTCCAGTTTAAGAGCTTATAATTCTTAAATTTGGCTTGCATTAATTAAGCTTTCATGGGCTTTTTGTTTTAAACGAATGTACTAACAGGCATCTTGTTGCATACGACTACCTGATACTACGATCTGATGAATTTAAAAGATCTTTTTTAGAACAAATTTAGTTAAAAGAAATTTAAAATGAAATTATTTAACTAACTCTGCATAATTGATACGCATCTGGAAAGGTTCTATAATAATTTCTTAATGATTGCGACAATGTAGCCTAAACGTACCTGGAAAGAGGAACAAATTTATTAAAAGAAAAATTCCGCAAAGGAAGCATTAAATGCGTATCTAGTCATTGTGATTGTCACCTTAATAACTTTTGAATATATTTTTATAACAACAGATTTCTTGTTGTGATCAAATGTTGAAAATATCTTGAAATGGGTTAATTCTCTGATTTTTTTAAAAATATATTATTTATTTCATAATGCTAAATTGTAAAGGTGTGTATACATTTGCGTAACAGGACGACCTTTTCATTCCAAATGTACATAATTTTATAGAAAAAAAGAAGAAAAAACTGAAAAAACTTCAGCCCAGTCATGTTCAGTGACGTTCGATACCAGACGATCCAAGTGTATACCACCTTCAATTAATCCATTTCTTATAGGCTCAAATGTAAAAAAACAAAACTGGTATTTTAATTTTGTGTTTGAGCTTTCATTTATTTTTTGTTCCTAACCCTATAGTCTGAAAAAAAGTACATACAATTATATATTTTTCAAAATTGTCTTTTAGCTTTTTTTTTTGTACTGCTAGGTCCAGTTTTTTTTAAAATCCTAAAATTAAAGTTTTATTTTAAAAAAAAGCTCTCAAAAGTGAAAAAATAGTTACCAGTCAATATAGTGAATTTTTCACTTATTAATTTAATTTTTTTTTTAAAGTAAAAGTTGGTGCTATCGAGCAAAATAATATTCGGTGATAAGTCTTGATCTGAAGTCTTTGAAATGAAAGGAATATTTACTAATACTATATCTGAAAAAAAAGAAAGGTTATTCAACAATATTATCGGGATTAACTGTCCATTTAGTAATAAAACATATTTATTCTAGCTGTTATTCATATTGTGTGTGTTTAGCGGCACACAATCTCTTCGTCATAAATACAATTGAAACATCGATTAGAAATATCGTATTTCTAAAAGTTATTATATATCAGGTTTTTGTTCCCTTTTGGAGTAAAGTTATATTGTGATTGATAACCAAATTTGATTACTCAATAATTAATGTAAAGCTTGGTGTAAATTTTTAACGCTGATGGGTGATGGTAATTACTTGGACATCACTTTTTATGTTTATATGCATTTTTAAAAAAAAAGTATTTTTTGTTATTTATTACTGAATAATTTCTGCTTTCTATGTCTTTGTTTTATTGTGTTCACTGAATTATTACAAATATTTTAATTTTGTTAATGTCGGTGTATTCTAGTCATAACTATTGTTCCAAATTTATTATATTTTGAAGAAGAGAAAATAAATGTATATATCATATTCACTTCAGGTACTCTTATAATAATCGTAAGTACAATAATTGTCGAAAGATTTAGATCTACAAATTAATGTGAATGTAATCATTCTTAATCTTTACTAATAAGGATAAAACAATATGCTATATGCTCTATATTTAGGGTTGAACAACTAACAAATCAGTCGGAAATCTTGCACAACACAGTTACTAGGCAAAAATTTTAAACGCAAGTTGAAAAAAATTAACCATGACTTTATTTTTTTGTACAGATACAACCTAGATATACCTAAGATAACTTATGTTTACAGACAAATTTTATATTTCAGAGTACTTTATTAATTTATTATTAACTACCCGCAATTAACAATAATTAATAATTTTATAACTGTAGCTGAACTCATTTTGACCATGTTTCAAGTTTATGAATCCACTTATTAAAAAGTATATGTATGTTTTTTTTGTGACTTGCTTTTAATTTGCAAGATAATAATCGTTAGACATTGACAAGAAATAAAGGTGAAAGAGCCTTATTAAAATTATACGCATACAAATTAACTTTTGTTAGAAAGTTATCTAATTGTGCAATGTACGTAAGCAATAGTCGGCAATTCTAAAACTTTGATAGTGTTAAAAAAAAAAAGGAATATAAAAGTAGAAAATAACCTGATCAAAATATATTAATTATAGCGTTCCAAACAATCTCCAAATCAAAATTTATATAGCTAATGTTGTTGTGTACAGAATACATGGTAATAATATATACTAAATGTATCAAATTATAATATAACTTTATGAAAAATCAAATTTAAAAAAATAAATAATCCGTTTCCATTTGACATAAAAAAACCTTAAGTGTATATATTATATTTATATATTTATTGTATTAAAATTGCTCTTCCATAGTTTTTGTAGCTTAAAAATATTTCTTCTAATTAATTTTCATAGGTACAAAAGCATTATATAATGAAATTCCAGATATTCGTATATGAAAAAAAAAATATCTGTTATTAATTATATTATATTGCCAAATAGGAATATTTTTATTACAATGAATAAATAGATAATACTTTTGTGGAAATCTATATTTTTGAAGAGATTTGTCATTTACTACACATAAATTATTAAGTCTTGAGGCTATATTTTAAAATCCTACATTACAATTTTGTCATAAGTTTATTATATGTATAAATAAAGCTTTGAAAAGCACAATGAAATCGAAAACTTTGTATATTGTGTTAAGTGCAGTGTTTTATTGAATAAATATGATTATTAATTACTCTCTGTTATATTATCATGGAAAACCTGTTATCCTTAGTGTCAAGCCATCAACACAATGTTAAAGAGAGGAATCTGGATTTTCATACTTTTCAGGAGAGCGAAAAAACAGATCGGACCTTAATTTTTCACTTAATTTAGTGAGCCGAGGTGTAAGTTGGTAAGAATGCTACAACATTGGGTAGGCAACTATGTCGAGGTGTAAGTTGGTAAGAATGCTACAACATTGGGCAGGCAACTATGTCGAGGTGTAAGTTGGTAAGAATGCAACAACATTGGGCAGGCAACTATGTCGAGGTGTAAGTTGGCAAGAATGCTACAACATTGGGTAGGCAACTATGTCGAGGTGTAAGTTGGCAAGAATGCTACAACATTGGGTAGGCAACTATGTCGAGGTGTAAGTTGGCAAGAATGCTACAACATTGGGTAGGCAACTATGTCGAGGTGTAAGTTGGTAAGAATGCTACAACATTGGGTAGGCAACTATGTCGAGGTGTAAGTTGGTAAGAATTATAATTGGTAGATTGTGTCTCAAGTTTGCCCATTATCTTTATGTGGTCGTTAAGAGGGCATAGGCCGGTAAGAAGACTAATTTTGCTAGAGATTTATAAAGCCACCCTTATTGCAGCCGTGCATGTCGCTTTAAGAGCAACAGTCATGCTAAGGCATGCTATGAACATTGGTTAAAAGTTATTCCGAAATCGTTAGATGCGGTCTGGTGTATTGGTTAAAAGGGGTTCTCTTTTTAGGGAAGCCCTGGAGGAAGATTTCCATTGTTTAACATTTTTTACTGCAAGAAGCCTTATCCGGCACCCCATCCACACCCTGAGGCCCTCCCAGAACTGCCTAAAGTGCCAGCAGATATCCCCATCCTGAGGAGTATTAGTGAGGCCTGTTGTCATTCTGTCTGCCTTTTTGATTTCGATTATTCCAGCTTTTCCAAGAATATCCATTTTAATAATATTTTGGAAATTTTCTTACAGTTGGATGTATAGACATAGGGGTTTTTAAATGTGGCAAGTGCTGAAAGAAGGTGGCACGGTGGACAGTTATATTAATTGTTCCGACTATCTCAGGAGATGAACGGTGAAGATAGAGCAAAGACGATCCATAGACATCCTGTACCATTTTCAGACCTGGCTACGTCAATGAAAACAAATTCTGCTTCTATACTTAATAATATGTACTTAACGTTTTCTTTTGTATTATTGTTTAGTTAAATACAAAATGGTACATTTTTTGAAATACGTGTTCGTTTTACTTTGGTATTGAATGTAGAAAGTATGTCAATAAGTGTAGGCCGGGTTTGTGATGGAGGCCTGCGTGGGCAAGCAGACCAACAACAAATATGGGCAAAGAGCTCCTACAGCCGACACCTACGGTCTTCCACAACAAACCGATAATTAGGACTGATTTTCCTTCCACTTCTTTTCTAATCTCTCGTTAGAAAGCAGTACAAACCTGAAATCTCGATGTCCATTTCGTTCTGCACGTAAGCTCTGCTGGAATAACAATTCTTTCCAACTTAGATAGTTCCTCTGTATCATCTCTTACAAAACAGAATTACCACATCCGTAGCTTTCTCTTGAAAGATTTTAAACGAATGGTTGTTTATACAGCTGCCGCTCGAACACCAGATAGATTTTTTGGCCAAACGGGGACATCCCTAGGCTTGTCTATCTTGTCTAGGTGCAAGATTGCAAGTACAAATGATTACACGAGCGGATTCTGGGAATTAGTTACTTCCTGGAACTCAGATCGACCTCCGGACCTAATCACCATGTTCCAACTCTCTGACGATTCAAATGCAATAAGTAGAAAAAGGAAGAATAGGCCATACCAGGTTGACACACTGTACTTACTTCAGAGCCAAAACTCGCATTTGTGTCCGGCAAGTAGAATAAGGTTCATAGCGAGTTCTAAATAATTGACCTGTGTCACTCCTTGACATTTTTTGATGCATGCTTAGGAAAAGCAATGGACTCTTGCTTAACTTGACGCTCGTTTTGACCTAGCTACCTAGCAATGCTCACAGTTGTAGTGAACATCAAATCGTCCGTGAGAGAGAGTGAGTAGGAATAAGAGAGCAAGAGAGAGAATTAAATTTTAAACAAATGAATAAATAAATAAATAAATAAATAAAGAGAGTGAGTCGGAATAAGAGGGCAAAAGAGAGACATTGATGAGTGGGAGTAACAGAGAGAGAAAGAAAGAGAGAGAGAGAGAGAATTAGAAGAACACAATAATAATCGTACGTTCAAGCCATAATCAATCATGTAAAGAAAGAAAGGGAGAGAGAATAAAAAAAGAGAAACAGACAGTGAGTGAGTAGGAATATGAGAGCAAGAGAGACAAAGTGAGTAAGAGAAAGAAAATGAGAGAGAGAGAGAGAGAGAGAGAGAGAGTGAGAGAGAAAGAGACAAAGGTAAGCGAGAGAGTATGTGAGTGGGAGTAAGAGAGAAAAGAGAGATAGAAATAGAGATTTATAAAAACACAATAATAAACGTACATATAAAGTCATAATAAATTATGTAGAGAAAGAAAGAGAGAGAGAAAAAGGAGCGAGTGAGTGTAAGTTAATAAATGAGTGAGTGAGGGAGCGAGAGAGAGAGAGAGAGAGAGAGAGTGAGAGAGAGAAAGTGCGAGTGAGTGAAAGACTTTTCACAATATTTTGTGTCGACATGGGAAGCCTTCATTACTCCTTCCTTCTCCATACAGAAGTAAAGCGGCTAATAACAGTCTTCAGAAGAAAAATCCAGTTTTGGATTGATTCTGTTGAAAAGGAAGAGGTGGAGTCTAGTCCTGGGCTAAATGATTTAAAGAAAACAAACTGGTACTTGCGAACGTGCCGAGTGATGAAGTTGGGAGATGTCCTTTGATCAGTACTTCGAGATGTCCTTTGATCACTACTTTGAGATCTCCTTTGATCACTACTTCGAGATGTCCTTTGA